ACAATGGTCGGTTTTGTACTAGTTGCAAGCAAGTTGGTCATGTAGAACAAAAGTGCACGAACAAAAAGTCTAAAGCCAATATATCCTCAATTAAGCTTGATTCTTTCTATATGTTTACCAAGGATACTAATGATGTGAAGGCTAAGTTCATTGGTCCACCATGGATGGGCTCAAAGAAGAAAGTCATTTGGGTACAAAGAGCTTAGTGACTAACCTTCGAGGATCCAAGCAAGTTTGGGTACCTAAAAGAATTTATCTTCTTTTGTAGGTCAATTACAAAGCCGAAGAGAGACATTGGGTTCTTGATAGTGGGTGCACTCAACACATGATCGGTGATACAAGAATGTTCAACTCAATCAATACCAATGGCAATAATGGTTATGATAGTATCATATTTGGTGACAATGGCAAAGGCAAGGTCAAAGGGCTTAATAAGATTGCAATATCCAATGACATGAGCATTTTCAATGTGTTGCTAGTAGAGAGCTTGAACTTCAATTTGCTATCCATGGCTCAATTGTGTGATCTTAGATTCAAATGCATATTTGGGGTAGATGATGTAGAGATCATAAGTGTAGATGGCTCTAACTTGATTTTCAAATGCTTTAGATATGAGAATCTGTACTTGATTGACTTCAATGCTAGTGAAGTTCAATTGTCAATATGCTTGTTCACTAAGTCTAGTATGAGTTGGTTATGGCATAGAAGGTTTGGTCATGTTGAAATAAAATAATTGAATAGATTGGTTAAACATGACTTGGTTAGAGGTTTGAAAGATGTCATGTTTGATAATGATAAACTTTATAGCTCTTGTCAAGCCGGCAAACAAGTTAGAAATACCCATCCTAAGAAAAACATAATGAGCACTAGCAAAGCATTTGCGTGGAGTTTTTGAGCAACGGCTCTTTTAGCTCTTGGGGCTATAAATAGAAGTGGTGACCAGCCTTGGGCTGGTTGCTGAGCACCCTCACACTTTGGTGGCTTTGTGTAGGTGTGCTTGGATGCCCTCTAACTCACTTGTGTTTGCAAGAGTGCGAATCGATTGCTATTGAGTGATTCTAGTGTGTAACACCCCGGCTCAGGGCTTAATAGGATTAATAGGATACTCGTACCAATAAGTTGCAACTTCTTTTCTGAAAGCTCATCTCTTAAGAACTCCAAGGTTAAGCGTGTTTGGCCTGGAGCGATGGGTGACCGACCGGGAAGTTCTTCCTGGGTGCGCACGAGTGAGGACAAAGTGCATAGAAAAGACAAGTGTTGGTCTGTGAGGGTAGTCTATATCCTAGTTAAGTTGCCAGATGTAAGCGGGCCCAGCCTCGGAGAGGTGGGACGTTACAGAATGGTATCAGAGCCGACTCTCGTGGTTTCACGGGTGCGTGTGTCGTAGTTGCGCAGGCATGGTGCGCATAACTGGTGTGGATCCGGCGTGGTCACACAGCATGGCACATGCGCTGGCACTGGACACACGGACGTGGCTAAGAGGGGACGTTCCTGGCTTGGGATTGATCGACGAGGACGTCGATCTCTTAAGGGGGTGAGGATGTAACACCCCGGCTCAGGGCTTAATAGGATTAATAGGATACTCGTACCAACAAGTTGCAACTTCTTTTCTGAAAGCTCATCTCATAAGAACTCCAAGGTTAAGCGTGCTTGGCCTGGAGCGATGGGTGACCGACTGGGAAGTTCTTCCTGGGTGCGCACGAGTGAGGACAAAGTGCGTAGAAAAGACAAGTGTTGGTCTATGAGGACAGTCTATATCCTAGTTAAGTTGCCAGGTGTAAGCAGACCCAGCCTCGGAGAGGTGGGACGTTACATAGTGCGTTGAATTGTGAGACTTTATCGAATGGCACTAGGTGTTCGAGTTGCAAGCCGGTGGTGCTTGTTAGTCTTGGAGGTTGCCACCTCCCTAGACGGCTTGGTGGCGAGTTCTCCATCGTGAAGCACGTAAGAAGATTGTGCGGTGCTCTTGAGAAGGATTTATGAGGGGTGTTGTGCTCGTCCCGCGGGAGCCGCGAAGAGCAACTCTAGTTGAGCGTATCATTGAGCTACCCTCACTTGCGGGTTGGTTCTTACGGTGCCCAACATGTGGGCTTGGCGAGTGATGCCAATTAGCCGCCAAACCATCAAGTGAGCGGTAAACACAACGGAGACTAGCTTGGTGGCAACCAAGTGAACCTCGAGATAAAAATCACCGTGTCAACCTTGTTCATCCTGTTGGTTTGCAATTCCCCCGACACAAGCTTGTATTTACTTTTATATATATTGTGCCTGTGTAGTTGTTTTTTTTAATTAGTTAGCTTGTGTAGCTTGCTAATTACCTTCTTACTTGTGTAGCATAGAGGTAGCTTCCTTACGTGACTAATTGACTTGAGTAGCCTTGTTAGTCACATTGCTTAGTTTGTGTACCTAAGTAATTGAAGCTCTATAATTTAATTTGAGTAGCCTTATTATTGAGCATTGCTAGTAAGCTTAGGCATTGTGCTTTTGTATACTAGTTTGTGTAGGATCTCTCCTAGTTGCTTGAGTACTAGTTGCATAGGTTTATATGATCTTGCTACTAGAATTAATTAGATGAGTTATAACTAGCCCGACATCTTAGTTTCTTGTTTAGGATCTTTTTAAAGGTGCTTACTAACTTAGATATAGGAGTATAGTCTTGATTAAACTAATAGTTTTAAATCCGTATTTCTTTCAATTAGCTGACGTGTTTAATTTTAGAAATAACTATTTATCCTCTGCCATCTCAACTCTACGTCTGCTATGTAGCCACAATCAGTTGCTCGCATGCTGCTATAGCGTACGTCGACGCCTGGTGGGTGACCTCAACGGGCACGACCCCCATATTCCAGCGCTCGTGCTTGCCACGACAATGGACTTTTTTCTTGACAATATATTAAAAAAAAAAGAACAACTAGCAGTGTGCAATATCTTGTATTATAGTTTCAATAATTTGAGCGAGGGAGACCAATATCTAGTATTGTAGTTTAGGAAGTAAACTCAAACTTAGTTGAGGGATGTAAAATGTACCTTTTTTTTCTTTCATGTATATTGGGTTGGTGACTACTTTATCCATTCTAAATTATAGGTCGTTTTGGCTCCTATTCATTTTGCTATTGTACTTAGATATACGCTAGGTCTAACACATAACAAATACAATGCATCTAGAAAAAAAACTATCTAGAAAAAAAAACTACAATTTGAAACGGATGAATTATTTGACTTCGAAACCTTTTTCCATATATCAGATGTCCTATTTTTACCACCAAACTTTTGAGATTCGTGCAGGTATTGGATCTAACGGTCACGGATCTTTCTCCCTGGATCCTAGGGAGCTCACCATCCGCCAAAGTTTTTTTCTTTTTTATAGCCATTTTTTATAGAGAATTTTTATTTTCATATAATATTAATATTTTCTAGATCTTTTGGTATATTTCAAACAAAATAAAATGTTCGAGAACAAGGTTATAAAACATATGCTTTTGTTCCAAAAACAAAAAAAAATGCTCCAGAGTCTAGACCAAAACTTATTAGCCTGACTTATCAGTCATAGTATAGTGTTTTTCTCTCATAACAAATCAGCTTCAGCCGGCTTATCAACCACAAAAATCAAACAAATATCATTTTTTGTTATAAATGATGTAATTAGGTTAATCTGATAGGCCTAATTAGACTATCGTGTTTGCAAGCTAGAAGTAAAACATCCTACATATATTAAGTCCCCATTCAAGAGACCGAAGATTACTTACCGGACGAGTCGACGAGAGGGATTTCGGTGGCCAGGTTAATACTCAACTAGTGCGTGAACAAGTTTGGAAACATAAAATTCACGAACGGGCCTTAAACTTGGTCGGAGGTGTCATTTCGATCCTCAAACTTTAAAAATGCTATTTACGGGTCTCTAAACTTGACCAATGATATCATCCAAGTCCATGAACTTCTAAGGTGTTCACTATTGGTCCCTAAACTAGACTAGTGGTGTTATTTCAGTCCCTAAGCTTGGTTTTGAGTCTCATAAATAATTCATAACTTTTGCATATGAGCTCAGTTGAAGACAAACTGTATATGAAAATTGTAGCCCTCGACGGGATCTACAACTTTGTAGTTGAAATGTTTTTGAATTGAAACTATTTAGGGTCCCAAAATATTTCTGTAATTTCACAAATTTTGAAATTTGAAATTTGAAATTTAAAATTACCAAACAATCTTGGATGTTGACATGATGTATATGAAAGTTATAGTTATCAATATGATCTACAAATTTGTAGTTGAAAGGTTTTTTAGTGTCCCAAATATGTGTTCTAATTTTATAGATTTTGAAATAAAAAACTTAGAACACATATTTAGGACACTAAACGACTTTAAATAAAAAAACTCTTAAACTACAAAGTTGTATATTGTATTGAGAACTATAACTTCCGTATAGATCATGTCAACATCCGAGATTGTTTGGTAATTTTAAATTTCAAATTTCAAAATTTATGAACTTACAACAATATTATAGTACCATAAACAATTCAATTAAAAAACATTTCATCTACAAAGTTGTAGTTATGAATTATTTTTTGAAAAGTCAGTGTACGACATCAACGTATAGAGTGGATTAGATGCCATTGGGACTCGATGAGAATCAAAACTAAGCTTAGGGACTGAAATGACAGCACTGGCCAAGTTTAGGGACCAATAGTGAACACCTTGGAAGTTCATGGACTTGGATGATACCGTTGGCCAAGTTTAGGGATCTGCAGATAGCACTTTAAAAGTTCGGGAACCAGGATGACACCTCCGGCCAAGTTTAACGACCGGCGGTGAATCTGTCCATGATATTGTCGCTACACGCTGAGTAGTCCAGCAAAAAAGCCACGCTTAACCGTCTCCAGAATAAAGGTACAGATAAGGACGCCATTTACATGTCACACGAGTTCTAGGACATCAAATATTGACAAAGCATTCTTGATGATTCGTCGAGTTCATCGTTGCTTTCTTGCGCATCACCATTGCGATCAGAACTCAGTCTCGAACACGGTCCTTTTTCCTGCAAGAAAGGGTGGATGCATCAATGACCACCAAGTTAGACATCACCAACCCCACACGAATACAAAAATCACAACTTTCTGGATGCATAACTTGAACACCGTGGAGAAAGAAAGAGAAAAATTGCCAGCGCCGCGCCGTTGCGAACCATTCCCTAGGTGCAAACGAGTTGATTACCTCACTCTGAATATTTCATAATCATTTTAGGTTCATCATTCAGCCATGGTTTGGTGATTTACCTGTACTGGGTGTGCCCCAGTTAGCAGTGTCGACATGGCTGCCTGAGCCGCCTCCAACACTGCCACCACCTTTCTCCTTGTAATGCCATGGAAAACTCAGCAGCTCAAGCCATTTAGTGACACACAGTTTGCGACCATCTCCCAGGTCCAGCCCATCCCGCTCAAGTGCTGCGACTAAGTCAGTGTGGCTATTGAAACGCACAAAGGCTTTCCTGCAAGATAGACGACCAAATAAAACAATCAGTACCATGAAAAGTACATGCAGAGGACAACCGATCAATGAACAGGTTGGTCAACTTTGTTACCCTGTGCTTGTGCAATCCGGATTCTCTGGGGTGATAATTCGTCCACTAAGTAGTCGATTCCGGCGGAAATGAGATCTAAGCATGCTTCTGATCTGCAGTAGGCGGAGAATCAGTGAGCCAGGTGGAATGACAACACAAAGGAGGCTGATCAGGGAAGCCCTTGTGCACAGAGATGCAAGATTAATTACATGTGTGATACTGAGAGATGTATCAAGCCCACGACACAGACGGTGTGAGGTACTCTACCAGGAGTAACTCCATCACAGGAAGAGCGTCTCTGGGAAGTAAAATTAATCAAGGAAAATTGAGCCGATGAGAGAGCTTACCTGTTAAGATCATAACTTTTCTTATCAAACCATGCAAATTTGAGTGGACGCCCCATCAGACAACATCCGGTAAGCTGGTAAAGTGCCTACAAGCATATTAAAATAAATTACAACACCTCTAGAGAAAAGAAACGACACAATAATTAATGTAACAACCACAAACATAGAAAATAATTCATCAGACCAAAGTGGCATGATATTGATCGATAAACTTCAGAAATATTGGTGTAACAAACATAAACAAGGGAAATGAATTGGAAACATTTATTTTACCATCTGAGCAGCAACTGATGTAGTAAAGTGCACAACTGCACAGCGTTTCGTACTACTGAAAGAAATGTCAAGAACCCCACTAATCTCCTTAAAAAGATCCCTCCTGTACATGTAACAGAGTAATAAAAGGTTAATAACGGAGATTTAAGTCCAAACTTCTGGAAGCAAATTAAGCTGTAAGATCTTTGTGCTTGCCTATAAGCTTACACTTGATCATAGCCAACATGTAGGGCGGTAGGGCCAAATCCCAACAAACAATTGTGGCCATTTTTTATATTTTATCATGATGAACATCCCGTGGAGGCCCTTTGGGCTTCACGTCCGTGGAGACCTTTGGGCTTCACTTCGGCGGAGGGAGTCTGGGCTTCACACAATATCAAGAGATCACAATAATTACTGGATCTTAAGTTACAAGAAACATGGTAGGTTACTTTGTACACTTTGTTGTCTGACATAATCTCTACCCTATGTTATTGGCTACAAACAGGGTCAAATCATCAAAAAAAAAAGTTAATACACATATGATAGTTGATATTTAAAAGAATAGCCATCTAATCTTCAAGTAGTTAATCTGCAAGTACAACATAGTTCCACAGATCGAAAACATAAGAGCAGTTGCTGTTTCAGTACAAGGAAGTTATACAAAAGTGAAAATAAATGCTAATTGAATGCAGGGCTAAAATGCATATGGTTCGACCAAGGAAAAACACCCAGTGCTCCAAGGTGTGCACAGTGCCAAACACACTTAGTTCCTAGAGAAGGCATCAATTTTAGTGAATGAAGACTGGTTCGCTAAAGAAGTTTGTTTATCTGAAGCACCTACTCCAATGCAGTCTTTGAGCACTACAGATAAGCGAGGGCTTGAATTGTTTTTGTGGACAATGCAAGAGCCACCAGATTGCTATGATGCAATACTTGTCAAGGCGCTAGATTCTATTAGTGTAATAGAGTAGTACATAATAGTCTTACATCATCTCAAATATATGCAAGGTCATTCTCAATGGCTGATAACGGGCTTCATCATTGTATAGTATGAGAATATTGTTGGCAAGCCAGTGCACATCTTATGATGGGATCAATAAGCCCTCAGAAATACACATTTTTTACAAGCCTTGAAGCTGTTCCTTGCATCTTCAAGTCATCTCCAACACGTCAACATCAACAATATATGATGTAGCCTTTTCACAATATTTAACATTTTCACACAAAATTTTGAGTAGTCATTAAATAGATAATTAAAAAATGTCATACTTGAAACCAATAAACTAGAATGAATCACAATATATCGATTATGATATTTCTTAGTTACCAAGTTTCAAATTGCTGAGTTCTCTTTCAGTGATCCTTGACATTTTGAACAACATATTAGTTATATATATTTCCATAGAGTTCTAGATTTACACCAGCAAGAAATCAAACCAGAATTGCAGCATGGCTAGAATCTGGGTAAAGAGAAAATTGAGCCAAGAGATGTTATCCAGTTTTAGTATCACCGAACAACAGCCAGTTATAAATGGTGTTAGCAATGCTTGGTTTGGTTCGCAACTTCGCACGTATATACTATACTAAACTGAACGAGTGGTCTAGCTGTTACAGTACAGACTATTCTGCACAATCAATACTCTAACAGAAGAAGAAACACTAATTTGATTTGTTGTACCAATACCAAAAATTACTCGCCAAATCAGCTAGTTGCAGTCTATTCGGCAGAATCAAAGCGCACGACAGGCAGGCACTTTTTACACATCGGAAACAGAGAATAACATTGTATACTGACGGAAAGAAAACTCAGGCATTTGAAGCACAAGTTTCAACATATCAAATTGGACAAGACAATTGGATCAAATTTATTTAGTTTCAACATGTCAAATTGGACAAGAGGAATGCCTCAAATTTCCTTTCTACTTGTAGGCAAAACAAGTAAATTTCCGAATCACCTTTGGCTTCGGTCGGTCCCAAATCGCCCTCCTCGGAGGGCCAGGCCTCGGTTGCCTCAAGTGGTCTGGGAGACGATCCTTCGGAATCCTGTCGATTCTCTTCTTCATCCTCGCCATCTTGCCGGCGGCTACTGATGAGCCCCCGAGCGAAACCCTAGATTATGGCTCTGGATGATTTGGGGAAGACGAGATGGAGCCTGCGGGATTTCGTCCCACCTTTCGACTGGGACGGGACACGGGACCTTCTTTGAATACAAATGTCCCGGCGCTGATGAGCAACTCAGGCAGTCAGGCGTCCCCTAGATGTTCAATCGTGAGGCGATTGGCGGTGAGGCGGGCGGCGACGCAGGAGCAGGGATATCTCTGCGACGCAGGGAGCAGCTTCTGCGGAAAAATACTAAACTGCCCCTTAATTACAACTAATTAATTTTCGTAATTAATACCTGCGGCAAATTGGTTCCTCCTAACAAATTGTATTTGATATCATAAATATTGATATGTTTTATTTATAATTAGCCAAAATTAAAATACTAAAACATGGCACTATTACTATAATTGTTTTTTTTTTACGGAGAGAGTACCAAATAGTAATGCAAAGTCATGGCCCTAACGTAGTGGACATATATCACTCTGTCAGTCTGCCTGCCTGCCACAACCACAAGTCGTCGTCGTTTTGCCGCAACCAAAACATAAACGTACAAAAGGTTGTTTCGTTTTGCTCCATCTGTGTATCGCTCAACGAATCCGTCCAAGACCTGATCGGCATTTCGTTTCGATGGCGCGTCATGCATGCTGCAGGCAACCGTACGTGGTGATCCGATCCGCCGCGAACGATCATCCGTATGCTCGCTGGGGCTGATGGACATGGTGCGCGTGTACCGGCCACGAGCTGGCCCGGGAGTTGAATTCGCCGCGTGCCGCGTCGTCGCGTCCAACCCAAGCAGCCCAGCCGGCCGGCCGCCCACCCAAACGCTCAGCTCGTCCCGGGCCGGCTGCCTTGTACTTCCTCCGTCCCAAATTACAAGACGTTTAACTTTTTTTTTACACCAAGTTTAACAACTCGTTTTATTCAAAAATTTATGCAAAATGTCACTTCTTTTGTCGTGGCTTGCTTTATTAATAAAAGTTCTTCAAGAATGACTTAAATTTGACTATGTTTGCACAAATTTTTAGAATAAGTCGAGTGATCAAACTTGGGATAAAAAAAGTCAAACGTCTTATAATTTGGGATGGAGGATATTTCATTGCTGCAGCGCACCGTCTTCTACTTCGACTCCCTCACCATGCCCACAACCGCAACCGTACGCAGCCATGGCAAGCCACAGCTCCCGCTCGGCCCGCAGCCATGGCATGCAGCATCGCGCTGCTACTGGTGGCAGCGGTCCAGTTGACCACCGCCGAGCTGAAAAGAAGGGAAAGTTATTTTTGCCTTTAGGGACATATGCCCCATAAAAGGAAGCCACATGTCGAGCCAGTCGACTAATTGAAGGTGGCTACAAGACATTATATCATCCTGCTCGAGCGACTAGGAGCTGAGGAGGCCAAGACATCACGGGTGTCGATGCCGATGCTCATAGAGCGTGGCACCATTCCTTCCTGCCATCGATGACGACGGCTCTCGACAAGCCGAGGCTGCTGCGGTCGTACCGGACCATCTTCTCCGGTTTCACGGCGCGGCTAACAGAGGAGGAGCTGAAGGAGGTCTCCACCAAGCCAGGCTTCGTCCGCTCATTGCGAAAGCCGACGTTCCTGGGCCTGTCGAACTGCATGGGGGAGTCGCCCGACGATTGGCCCGGTGGCGGTGGTTGGGGGTGATCGTCGGTGTGTCGTCGATGACATTGTCCACCTGGCAATCTACAAGGCGTGCGGCAGAGACATGAGAGACTACCCCTCGATAGGCTTGCTGCAGGCCTTCGACAAGGCGGTGGCGGACGGGGTGGACGTGATATCGGTGTCCTTCAGCTTCTCCACCAAACCCACGTTCGACAACGACCCCATCGCCATCAACACCTTCAACACCATGCAGCAAGGCGTCCACATTGTCGCTTGCGCTGGCAACGATGGCTCGGCCACACAAAGTTATTTTTGCCCTTAAGGGCATGTGCCCCAATGTGCATGAAGCGTTGGATGCACATTCTCTCTCCTGCTGCACACGCATCTCAATCTGTATCCAATGGTGATGCACATGGGACCACATGCCTTTAAGTGCAAATTCGCATCCTCCATCCTCAACGTCGCGCCATGGATCCTCATGGTGAGCGCCAGCACGATAGACCAGTACTTCCCGGCCACCGTGTACCTTGAAGGCCCAGCGGATAATACTCACGGTTCCACCATCGGAGAGTCCCTTGCCGATAGGATGAAGCTTTATGCACCGGCTGCTAAAGCCGTGGAAGCAACTGTTGTACTGTACCGAGGAGTATCGCTGCTCTTAGATGAGGGACTTGATTCCTGACAAGGCAGTAGTGATCGTGGTCTTACGTGCAGGATGGCCTTTTTATTGTTGAGCTTCAATGCTTCGGCCATTCTGGTCATCGAACCCAATGATGTTGGATATACCATGATCTTGGACATCTTCGGCCCAGAGAGTCATATTGTTCAAGTGCCCTACAAGCCCTACAAGCAGGATGGGATCTCGGAGAAGTTCACATCAAGGCCGTTACGCTATGCCAACACCAACTTGGGCGCGGACACACACATGGGGGCATATGCCCTCAAAAGCAAAAAGCAGCTTTGGTCCGAGGAAGTTGAGCCCCGGCATCCTCAAGTCGGATGTGTTGGTTCCCAAACTCAACATTCTCGCCGGCGTGCCCGAGGCTAAGGGCAACTTCGGGCGGGCAACTTCGCTTTTAAGTCGGGCACTTCCATGGCCACGCAAGGATCCATCCGGCATGGAGTCCGGCCATTATGAGGTATTTCGCTGACAAAGCATACTACAACAAATCTTTTAATCCATGACGGATTCACCAACTACTTGCTGACCAAGCATACCGCAACAAATCCTTTAATCCATGATGATTCACCGACTGCTTGTGAAACGTTTTTATCTTCATCATACCTGTATCCTGTAGTTGTATCACCTACCTGAAGGAAGAAATTGGCTTGTGTACAGGCTAAACTTTCCATGCGTATACATACGTATATGCTTCAGGCCCTTTACGGGATCAGCAACCACTGCCACAAGTTAATCTCGTAATTTCATTTTCAAGAATGGGCGCATCAATTCTGGTTATGGAATGATAATTTCATTTGATTTCATCACAACTTTCGATTTGGGGTTTCATCGTTACCAAGTTTCTGTAGCGTTGAACAATTTTCCGGGGCCAAAAGGAAAAAGAAAAATACAGGCAAACTGAGGACACTGACGCGGGCGTCCATCGACCGAGCCAAACCCTCAAAAACCGCCTGCCCCGCTCATTTCGTCGAACACCTGTCGCGCGTCTCATCCTCGCCGACGCACTCCGTCCGATGCGCCGCTTCTGCCACATCCCTCGCGGCCGGCGAGTGGCCACAGCGCCCCACGACCACCAGCCACTGCCACCACCGGAGTGGATCGAGCTGTACCCGGACCTCGCGGACCCGAGCCCGTACGCGTCCACCGCGGCGGCCTCGCCGCTCTGTTTCTGTGGGACGCCGGAGGAGACTCGTTCGCTTCGCTCCACGAGATGGCGCGTGCTCCGCGGCCGTCTCCGGTGCCCACCCTGCTCCGCCTCCTCTCCTCCAACCCCTCCCTCTCCGCCGCCGCCGCCGCCCACGCCGCGCTGCTCAAGTCCTCCTCCCTCTCCAGCGCTGTCCCGGTCGCGGCCACCGCCCTCCTCACGGCCTACGCGAACGCGGGGCTCCCGGGCGCCGCGTCCCGCCTGTTCGACGAAATGCCCGCGCGGGACGCCGTCGCGTGGAACGCGCTCCTCGCCTGCCTCGTCCGCCACGCGCGCGCCGGGGCGGCGGCCGCCGCGGCCTTCCGCGGGATGGCCGCCTCCGGGCTCCCGCCCACGCCCGCCACGCTCTGCACCATGCTCAAGGCGTGCGCCGCGTCGCGCGCCGCCCGCCCCGGCCGCCAGCTCCACGCGCGGGGCGTCGTCTCGTGCCACGCCGACGCCGACGTCATCGTGGCCACCGCGCTCGTCGATCTCTACATGAGCTGTGGCCTCGTCGAGGACGCCATGAGGGTGTTTGTGCTCACGAGGTGCCCCAAGGATGCTGCCCTGCACAATGCTGTTCTTTCAGGTTGCGTGGAGAACGGATGGTTCAGCCACGCCTTCTCGATGCTGAGGCAGCGGACGGAGCTCAATGGGATCTCGCTGACCTCTGCTCTCACGGCCTGCGCAGCGACAGCAAACTTGGCTTACGGTATGCAGGTGCATTGCAAGGCTCTCCGTGGTGAGTTTGATTCTGACACCATTTTATGCAATGCGCTCATTGACATGTATGCAAAATGTGGGAGGGCAACGGCTGCTCGTATAGTATTTGACCGGATGGCTACCAGAAATGTGGTCTCCTGGTCAAGTATGATCGACGCTTATAGTTGCCATGGACATGGTGTTGATGCTTTGGATTTGTTTAAGCTAATGGAGAAAGCTGCACCAATGGTCTTGCCAAATGCTATCACATTTCTGGTGGTTCTGTCAGCCTGCGGACACTCTGGTCTGGTGGATGAAGCTCAGTCCATGCTACATTTGATGAAGAGCAAGTACGGGATTGATCCACAACCAGAGCACTACGCATGTTTAATAGACATGCTCGGACGTACCTGGGATCTATATTGTAGTCTAACTGCAAGTCGAAATAAGTCTTCCAGTGCCATCTTCGTCGCTATGTTGAACACCTGCAGAGCAAACATGGATGCTGCAAGAGGAAAGACGGTGGCTGTGCGCATGCTGGAGGTTGATCCACGAAACCCTGGGATTCATGTGTTGATTTCGAATTTTCATGCTGCTATGAGACAATGGTCTGAATCAAATGAATCGCGGAGGATTATAGTGGACACGGGTCTCAGGAAAGAAGCGGCGAGCAGTCATGTCTGTTTTGGCTAAAAACTAATTGTGCACATATCTTGAAAACATTTGCCACAGAGCGTGGCAAAGGTTGGGATACCATGGTAGCCAACCAAAGGGACCCTTTACCCTAAGTACACGCCACAACTGGTATACAAAGAATTTTAGTGCTGATTTTGATTTTGTCAGTATAGTGTACTTTTTTTGACAGGTAAAAAGATTGAAAATTGTGGTATATATAATATATATGCCTAATTAATCCCAAATCATGCAGCTTCATCTAGCTTACTTGCGTTGGCATATCATTACTTTTGTTGATTGTGCCCACTGTTTGCTGTAAAGGTCGTTTTTACTTTATTTCTTTTGTGATTCTAACCTCCTAAGGCTAATCTTTTTTCTCCTGCTATATCAGCAGAAATGAACACTTTCTGATCTTTCGTTTAAAAAAGAACTGTCGTTGTGCAGTTTGACATGATTATAGTGAGCCTGAATATTTGTTCTCTTATAACATTTCTATTTCATAAAAAGGATCAACTGAGGAAGTCATAAATAATGCATGAGAATGAATGTGTACACCTGATTCATCTCTTGGGAAACTATACTTTTGATACGTTTCATGGCTCCAAACAAAGTCTTGTATTGCTGGTTTTAACTATACCTAGCCCTCTTCTTGGATTATGGGTTCAGAAAAATTGCGGAATCGTCATGATCTTTATCAATTTACACGCCAATAATTCCTCAAAAAAAAATTACACGCCAATAGTTTTGTGTCGTGAGTTGGAATGATCAGTGGTCTCTACTCTCTCCTGTATAACAGAAGTATCCAACAAACAAACATAAATACTTTCTGAAGTTGGATGTGGTGAAATACGGAAGGCTCTTCACCTGCAGTTCGTCTGTGTATGTGGTAGTGCTACGGAAGCCGGAAGCGGATCAAGTATTCAAGTTCAGCGCTGAGTGATATTCATCTTGGTAAATAACACCCTTCGACCAACAGGTACACAAAAGTGTTTCCTTGTTGTACCATGGGGAAGAAAAGACAATTGATCAATCCGACTCTGATGTCCGCCATCTATGAGAAGAACAGACGGCTCTGTGACCTACAACAGCGAGAATACGTCGATGCTGTTCTAAGGACTGGCACGATTAGCTGATTACCATGGGACAATGCCGCAATCACCATTTGGCAAGGCATTTCCAGTACTGTCTTCCAGGGGCATGTCATTTTCGTCATAAGATCTGTAACTATTAATCAAGCATAGCATACTGAGAGGAGATTTTCACAGATCAGATAATAATTAACGATAATCCAGGAACAAATACGGTGGCAAATGGAAAAAAACGAGAATGGACCTGTGATCCACCATAAGAATCACAGAAAGGATATATCATCAAAAGCTCTCAATAGGTTTTCAGTTTCCACATGACCTTAGGTTTCTTACTCCTGTAGTATATGCATGTTTGAACCTCTAGCAACAGAGAACTGTTGTTGTTGGTTGATTTTTTCTTTCTTTCTGCACCGCCCAGAAACCATAGAAAATCACTTGGGGGTTCATCATTTAGTTCAGATGACAAGAGGCCAGTTTTCAAAGAAAACAAGAGCTAAATGACAGACTTGCTGCCATCTGAAATTGTTGCAGATTGTCCGGTTGAGGAAAATTACTGCATTTTTTTTCAAAAGAAGCGTATACATGATGCATTAGTAGGAATCATTTTTTTTTACCAACACATTTAGCTTCTGTCTGTATAGTATATGCTTCTCTGCATATGCTTCCTACTAATGCATAAACGATAAACTTGTCACAATGCATTAAATGTTTAACGGATCAGATGGTGTTGAGAACAATGATCGAGGCACAAGCAAAATAAGAGGCTGACCTTGAGACCCAGCTAAGGGAATCACCAATAGTGTGTGGTGTGCCATGCAAAATTCTAGCAGCAAGGAGCTTAGATTCCTCCCTCTATGCAAGTGTGAACGTGTGGCACTAACATATAAAACTTAAAAGAGAATTTCATTCTACTATCATGAAGCCTAGATTTCTTTCCGCAACCATTGGCAACCCCATAGCTAGAAAATTTCAATGTTGAACCTGCCCAAGATGAATTGCCACAAAACCAGCAATATCGGAGCGATCTCACAATGGGATCCATGGACTGACTCATTGGTTGTTGATTTCGTCCCATGGAGCCCAATCAATGCAAGAAACACCCTAGCTTTCAATCACGAGAGCACCCAAATTATGCTTCATGGCATCTGAACTGGCTTTCAGATCTTCAAATCGCCTTGTTTAGCGCCATTGATAAGCAGGTAATGGGTAAGTTTGCTATCCCCTATAGAATGTGGATAAACATAAGGTGACACGGGGAAAAAAAAAAAGGCATCATAGAAGGAGCCCACTTTGGCAGGCTTCCAGGTTGCATCACCTGTAGCATCACTGTAGCACTGGTCAGTGGCTCCACCCGAAATCAATTAAGGTCTACGGGACAAGAGCCTGTGAAGCCAGTTTCTTGGGCTTCACTGGCTCCTACAGTGTATGGACAGTGCCAGAATCAGAGCGGCCCTTGGCCCTGACAAATAAGCCCTAGATATGTTGTTGCTACATGTAGCAATTGCGTTAGTAGCGGGCAGAGTCACATAGCAAATCCCAAACCTCGCTGGCAGAAGCACAGCCTCTGTAGCAACATTCATTATTATCAGTTCATCAAGGCGGAAACAAAACCACTCACAACTTATTACATCACAAACAAGCATTACTACATCCTAGGACAGCACCCGGGTATCCCGGTCTTCAGTGGAGTTCCCTGAGGAAGTCAGTGTTGTCAACCAGAACCTACAATGTTAAGGATAAATGTCACATATAGGTATAGCAATCATTCGATTTTATGATTCATTAGATTTGGGGGGCTGAGTCACACCAAACAAACACAATACTCATGAGATGACATGATATAGTGCAGATAAAGATATTGGAGCTATAGCTTTAGCTTCCCAGTGTACACCCATGAAACAGAATCCTGTTTTCACAATGGCTTGGCTTCACAGGTGCATCAAGTTTAAGCTTTGAAACTATGGTAGTGCAAAGTTTATGCAAAGCATTAATCATTTCATTGTCACTGGCTCTAGATTTGAAGAAAGAAGGGCAGGCCTGGTGCCGTGGTGAGAGCTGTCTCACTGAGTCACCAGGTCGTGGGTTCGAAGCAGCCTCTCCGCAGATTTTGCGGGGGAAAGGCTTGCCTCGGTTTTTCCCTTCCCCAGACCCCACTCATGTGGGAGCCTCTGGCACTGGGTCTACCCTTTTTTGGCTCTAGATTTGAAGAAAGCACTAGTCAATTTAACTTTTTATTTTACACGAAAATTTAACAGTTAACTGTATACAAAAGATGGAAGCATACCACTTTCCAGCCATCTGGATCAACAAAAGAGGCAATCTTAGTGTTGATCCCAGGTAGCGGCCCTGGCTGCCGTAAAATCTTGCCACCTAGTTCTTTGGTCGCCAGATCAACCGCCTCAGCACTCTTGTACACATCATTGGTGCCAATGGCAACCTGCACTTACATAAGCCAAACAATTAAGAAATGCCAAAATGTAATTAGAAAACTGCTTCAGATAAAGATTTCGTAAAGACCTGAGCATATGCATTGCCCTTGCTGTATTCTGTGACTCCATAGTTGTATGTCAACTCCAGAACAGTTGTCTTGTCCTCATCAGCATATCCCAACATGGCAATGGTATACTGTATAAGGGTGAAAACATTCAGTCCACTAAGCCAACCAAAGAACACTACTTCTTGGGGGTGGGGGTGGGGGGGAGGATTCTCTCAACACTATGAAACGTAACAACATTCTTTCAGTGCCAAATAACTGCAACTACCTTGTAATCAGGTACATCCTTCTTCCTTAGGAGCTTCAACCCTAGAGCCTGCATGGAAACAAACAAACCATACATCATCATGTATGAGAAAGAGACTGTTCCTCTAGAGATAAAAATAAGAAATACATCTCTAACTTTTGGAATAGCACAACTTTACAAAAGGAAAGAAAATACCTTCTCATAAAACTTGATAGAACGCTCAAGGTCACCAACACGAAGCATGACCTGGCAAAGAGGCTCAGGTGTCTCAGCCCTCTGGATAAGCTCAAACATGTAGCCATCAGGGTCCTGTGCGAAGGCAATAACAGTGGATCCTCCCTTGACAGGACCAGGTTCGCGGGTGATCTTGCCACCCTTGGATTTAATATTCTCAGCCAACTTGTACACCTGCATTTGCATCCACGATATCATATATAAACCATAATTCTGCAGCATCTACAATAGGCTATTGCAAATCGACAATACTTACATCCTCATTAGCGATTGCGAAATGCCCAAAGCCCGTTCCAATGTCATACTTGTCAACACCATAGTCTGTTGAATAAGAGTGAACTTGTTACCACATTAGAAGTTACAGAAAACGAAAATAAATTCCCGAGAAAAGAATTAGGTCAGTTCATATCAAGAGAGAAAAATATCCATTGCTAACATTCTTATAGGGTTCACAAATTGTGCAACTGCAAAAATTAGTAGCATAGTGAAACAAATAAACAAAATTTTGGCAGGTCACCGAACATACTGTAAGTCAATTCAACTGCAAAGTTGGTATCCTCTGGTCCAAAGCCAAGGAAGGCGTTGGTGTACTTCTCCTCAGGAATATCCCTTTTCCTCAGCAGTTTCATCCCAAAGCATTCCGTGTAGTATCTACAAGAATCACAAGGTCACATAAAAAGCATGATTCTAGCTGCAGATGTTGCAAATGTCAGCATACTTGATTGTGCGGTCCAGATCCCCAACACGGTAAACAGCATGGAGCATCCTCTTGTTGTCCTGTTTATGCCAGTCAAGCACAGTCTCAGCTGGCACCTCAGCTGGCTTCGAGGCTTCACTACCAGTTGCCATCGCTGATGAAAGAGCTGCACATTTGATAAGAATAAGGGAGGAAAGATAATCTTAACTAGAACAAAGAATGAAAGCATCAGGTGTTCATATTGCTAAAAAAATCTTATTTTTTTCAGCCCGGAACGTCTATTTAGTCAATGCTTTTCTCTGAAACGCAGGAATTTATGAGAAATATCACCCTCTCCTGTACACAAAAGGATCAGTGTTCAAATGACAGAACGCAAGGTGAATGAATCTCCTTTTTTCTTAACTGTCCACTTTTCATCCCAATCCCAAACTACATCTAAAATATTTTATACTGGAGAAGATAGCAGCAGCTCAACCAAATCATAGACACAGAGATGCAGGGCTCCCCCTTGGGGAGAACTTTGAGGATGCATTAGTCAACTATTAGATGGACACACAACCAAATGAACGAAGACGGAAACCTAGTAAGATAGGAACCCCAAAATCTAGATCGCGGCATGGCATGCCATGTAAAATCTTTACAGGGCTGCGCTAACCCTCCCGTTGTGTTTCATGTTTCAGCATTTGGGAGAAGGGGACACCCAAATCAAACTCCGTGGGGAAGTGAAAGACCTCAGTAGAGGATTCCTTCCTTTACAATCTGTTACCAGGGGGCGCCCGACCCCGACCCCGACCCCAAAATCACGAATCGCGATCGGCCAAAGGCTAGCCAACAGACGAGCAGGCGGAGGAGCGGCGCAGCCATCCAGGCGAGTAGGCGACCAGGCGGGCGGCGGCCAGACGGCCATGGGCCACGTCTCACGACGGCCAGGCGGAGGCGGGCGGGGGTCGCCGGCCAGCGGCCAGGTCAGGCGGCCAGCCGGGCAGTGGCCGGGGCCCAGAGCCAGGGGCTAGGGCGGCGGCGGCGGAGTAGATGGATTTGGAGGTAGACGCTCACCTTGGCTTGGATTCGGACGGTCTGATTCGATTCGGTGAAGCAGCACGCGCAGGCACAGCGGTGGTGATCTCTCAACCGATCGCTCCCTTCTTCTGGCTTTGGCTTTCCTCCGGTGGAGAGTGGAGAATGAAGGCGCCACGCCCACAAACAAACAGGCTATACAGTCCACAAGGACAGGACAGGAGTGCCAAGTGTGCCGCGCGCGAGAAGGTCCCCCAGCCCTTTTTTATTTTTTTTTCTAGGAAATAAAAGATTTATAAAAAAATGGTGTTTTGTTTTTTTATACACCTTCTGTTTCAGCGTCGTTAGGGCACGTACAACGCCCGTCTTTTTACCGTCTGGAAGATGCCATTTTTGTAAAAACCTCCTCGACTCAGCTAAGAGACGGGCACGCCATCTCTTCGCGAAGAGACGACGAGGGCTCGTGCTCCCAACTCCCAAGTCATATCACCCGCTCCAGCACCGTTGTACGATGGGGGCTCGTGCTCCCAAGTCATATTTGAGCACCTTGATTTATGAGTCTACGTAAGAATTAATTAGCTTGTAACAGACAACCCATTGTATATGTTGTCTGTATTCCTGTCTCTATGTGACACGATCAGTACTTGCAGACGGCAGCCGTCTAAACTGTTGAACATGCCCTTACGGCTTCTCTGTGTACATAAATTTTATCACGTCTAGACATATCATATATCTAAATACATATGTAGCTCATGACAGAGAGTAGTATTTAAATAATATAAGTGAAGAAGCTGTTGTACCGAATTTATTAAAATATATACAAGATATCATTTTCTTAATTAAATAATTTGGACGCTATCTCTATCTATGTACTACTCCCTCTGTCAAAAAAAAAAGTTGGTTTAGAAATAAATCTGGACAAGTTGCAAACGGTTTTTGTTTTGACGGAAGGAGTACATAAGTGCGAAAGGGAATTGTCGTCGGGACACGCTAATTAATAATTATGCGTCACAATCACTTTCTCACCGACAAGTGAGTCCGCACCTTCCCATGATCCATATACTAAACTCACGCATGCAAACTACCTTTAGGAAGTCATTTTTTTTTTCGTTCCCCAAATCCTAGCAGCCATACACTATACACACATTCTCCTTCACGCTTTTTCACTTAATTAATTACAAGATGCAATGCACATATATACTCACCAAGTTAGTTATATTCTGTGAGGAAAAAAAACATTGATCTTGCTACAAGTAAGTATAGATCAACGCAGAGAGAACTTTACCGATTGAGTCCATGGGAGACGGTGCAGGCGCAAGATTCCCGGGCACCTTGCTTACTTGCTCCTGCCTAGGACCAACACCGTTGTTGGTCTGAGCAGCGACAACACCTGGAACAGGCAGGAGCAAAACGAGCATATATGCAGTCGAAACCCAACCAGACATCACACGAGGCATGAAACCGACTGAAACTAACTGGGTTTGTAACTGCAGTCTGCAAGACCTTGTATAGAACCACCTATCAAGGGCAAAGTGCATGACCATCATATAAAGGCATGGCCATGGGTTGCAGCTATGACTGCAGCCTGCAGGCCACTGTGGCTCTGAGGTGTGTTTAGTAAACGCTTGTTGAGATATAGCGGCCGGAGCAGTGATGGTTCCGGACGCCGTAGGGCGGGCAAACCAAGTGTGGTATAGGCCTTTACAATGTGCTTAGACCATCTCCAATAGTTAAGTCGACTTGTAGCTCTAAGATCATAGATGTTATCTTAGAGATAACACTAGTTCCTAATATCTCTGATGAACCATATTTTAGTTTGTCTATTCTTAGAGATAACACTAAACTAGTATATCTGATGAACCATATATATTTATGATTTCCTTATTTGACAACATGTCTATTTATTCTTTTTCTATTTGGCACTACATGCTGCTGCTACATGGAAGGATATAAATGTCGTTTTAGCTATCACTTGACACCGTTAGTGCATCAAATGGATGGCAATGCAATTTATAGAAGGAAATTTCAAGTTGGTGCTAGGCAAGGAAGTTCAAATTTTTGAGTGCTATATACCGAAGAGAGGTTTGTTTCAGTGTCAATGTTCCCTTTTATAAGGCGCCGGCTGGAATGACACGATCTCCTAAATTATACTTTGACAATTCATTTATTTTATATTATATTATTTATGTTTATAAATTTATGATTATTGGATAGTATAATTGCTTACAAATATAGTTGTATTAAGTTTATATTATCATAGTTAAAAATTGTTAGCCAAATTATTGATCAAAGTTTTTAAAGTTTGACTCTTGATATATGTGCGCGCCTTATAAAAGGGAATAGAGGTAGTAATTCTCTCACAATTGTTTGTGTGCTCTGATGGTTTCTGCGGCTGATAAGTCGGTTGATGCTATTTTGTTGTGAGAGAAAAATATTGTACCATGGCTGATAAGTTCAAGTGAACATGGCGTAATAAACTTTTCAACCTAAGTTTGCCCAAACAGATATTAAATGGCACTTCCTTATTACATCATTATAAGGTGAGTTCGACCAATTGCAAAGGTCCACAATACCAAAATCACCAAGCTTTCATCTCATGATAAATTTTTGCGATGACGGAAGGGGCAAACTACAAACTACTATCATTATGCATAGGCCATGAATGACATAGAAGAGCTAATTGCATTGTCCAACAAAAGCTTGACCGCGACCATCGTTTCCCATTGAGAAAGCCAAACAAAGAAATGTACGGTAAAATAACGGAAAAAGATGAGCCGTCAAATCAATCCATAGAAGTTAAGGATATAAAGGCTTGGCCATGGGTTGCGGATATGACTGCAAGCCGGTGTGGGGCTCGTTCGGCTTACCTCATATTAGACTTGTTTGGCTTCTTTTTCAGCCGGAACAGTGTTTTTCTCTCACAACAATTCAGCCAAAACAGTGTTTTTCAGCCAGTTTCAGTCAAAATTCTGTCAGCCGAACGGGGCCGTGGTGTACCATAGGGTGTGAGGTGTTAAGGAAACAACGTGTTGAAACAACAGATAGAACATTGATGGTTCTGGATGCCTACATATAGTTTCAGAGCATGCAAAGTGCGTCACGGGCCTTTGCACCATGCTTTGGCCATCTTCCAACAAATAAGTCAGTTGTTAGCTCTAAAACCATACATGTTATCTAAGAGATATTACTAAAGCTAATTTCTCTAATGAACCATCTCTAAGGTTGACTTTTATTGCTTTTAAGATCTATATGTACACACAAGATGGGCTGATAAACTACACACCACCTCAATGGCTATCCCCCCTCTATCGCTTGAGGTATATCTTGAATACGGTTTTTCACCAAGGAAAAATAAATTTCCTCTGGTGGACCAAATAACCCCTTGTAATATTAATAGTTTGTGATGTATCCTTTTAATTCATATCACCCTCGGTTACTCCATCTTCTTGTTCCAAATTGAAGATACGTTGTTTTCTATGTCTTTCATTAGCAACCACAAGTGGAAATATTGGGTGTTATCATTACCTTCCAAGAGGTATTTACATTTTGCTCGCTCATACCATTCAATTTCTTCTTCCCTCAATATATGAACCAATCGTTCATTGAGATAGTGTTTTAAGTTTAACTCTTGGTCACTAAGCCGTCTAATTTTTGCCATTTTATCTAACTCATCAATCATTAAGGTCAATTTTTTCTCCTCCCTTTTAATGCGGCCAGCTGTATTTTTGGCCCATCTCTTAAAAACTGGCGAAGTGTTGTGATTTTATTTTGCCAGCTTTCCATGGCAGTCATTCATGAGGTTTCCGATTATCACACATCAGCAACCAAATCATAGAATCCATCACGTATGAGTCACTCTCTTCTCTCTCAGATTTGAAAAGAGGTTGTTGTTTATTGTGAGAAGATGAAACGGTGTGTGATCTAAACTTCTATCTTTAGCATGTATCGTTGTGCGAGGAATATGGATAGATATAGAGATAGATATGCTCTGTTTGGTGAAGCTCTGGCTATAGGAAATCTATACATTTCCTAGAGTTGGTCACTTGTATCTATAGAAAATTATGGATCTAGAGTTGCAGACATGTTAAGTACATTTACATAACTTTTTATAATTTAGATTATTAAATAAAAAATA